ATTTTTATATTAGATTCAATTAAAATAAAATATAAAATGTAAAATTAAAATATACTATAATATTTGTACTTAAAATCTAGTAAAAAAAAGTGTATATCTAATATAAAAATTTGTACAGAATTAATTAAAAATTTTATATTTAATAAAACTTAACCTTAAAACACAACATAAATAAATTCAAAAAATAAAGCTTGACTTTTATTCTAACAATTAAATAATTAAATAAATGCACGTGATATTATGTTAAAATTAATATTAATATTTTAATTTTTTATATAATTTAATTATTAAAATATATTAATTATGCTTTTAACTTAAAAACATAAATTAAACTAATTCAAAACTATACACTCAACAAGTGCCTTGAAAAAAAACCCTAAAAGAAATAAATAAAAAGGAGAAGGCATTAATTTGGTGTGGGATAGGGTGAAGATTCAAGGAAGATACCGGTGTGACGAATTTAACAATAGGATAGGGTGGAGCTGCAGACTTCAACAATACCTGCAAAAAATGAGTTTGTGTGGAAGTTGGAGGCTGGAACACGCTATGGAAAACCATTAACTCGTTTATTTAATTACCCACTATTGTCCCCATGAAGAGACAACAATGTGGTTGACGCAGAGTCGTGAAAGTTGGAACACGCTCAAGCTAAAAATGGAAGATGACTTGTTTGACTTAATTACCTATTTTGGACTGTGGTCCCCATGAAAGGACAAGTCAATTAAACACCCTTGAAAACCCCTTTTTGCTGGCTGGAAGCATCCTGCGAAAGGTACCCATCTAAATTTTATCTAAATTTACTTTAAAATATTTATTAAAGTTAATTTTCAATTTTCTTTTAAAATAATTTTTAAAATTTTTTTAATTAAATTTTAAATTTTTGAGAAAATAATTTTACTTTAAAAGAATTGTTTTTTTATGATTAGCTAAACACCGGCTATCTTCAAATTCAAATGATTTTCTGCATGCGGACCAATGAAAGTTTATTGGAATTAGATCTGGTAAAAATCCACATGACTCGTCAACTCGACCGTAATCTGACCCTTAAAAAACGAGTTAGGATCTACACATCTCAACCTGCAACCTGTAGATAACCTGTATTATCAACCC